CAGATTTCGTTGGCTGAACGAATTAACTCAGCGATTGAAGAGGCTGACTCGTTCAGGGAGGAGTGCCAACGAGTTGGGTGCTTAGTGGGTAGGTTGAAGCCGATGCTTCGGTATCTGATCGATTATATCGCTGCTGCTCAGACCCTATATGACCGGCCGATTGTCTGCATAGTCGCTGAAGTCTCAAAAAACCTCGAGCGAGCACTGACCCTGGTCCGGAAGTGCAAGCGATGGACCCTATTTCGCCGGTTCGTCATCGGCGACCGTACAACGGATTTTTCCAGAATCTTCACTGTTCTGGAATCTTCAATTGCTAATTTGAATTGGTTGCTCAACCTCATCGACCCATACACCGGCTGCGCCACCGGCGAATGGAATCTATCCTTGCCTCCGATCCATGATCTGGTTATTTCATGGGTCTGGTCGTTCAACGCCACCCTAAAAATGGGTAAACTTAAAAATCGCATCGAGGCCGCTTACAGTCTTGCTTCGCTTGCACAAGCGAACGAGAGGAACAAGAGAATCATCGAGGAAGAAGGCGGAATCCCTCTTCTGGTAAAGCTTCTCAGAGATACATTCCCGCCAGAGGCGCAAATTGCGGCGGCTAATGCGCTTTATATTCTCTCAGATGACCAAGAGAGAGTGAGGGCTATTATGACCGGTGGCGGAATTCCAGCAATCGTTCATCTATTGAGGGCTTCCCCCATCAGGGTTCAGATTCAGGTGGCGAGTCTGGTTGCGAGATTAGCGGAGAAGTACCCCCAGGCGCAGCAGGCTTTCGCAGAGGAGCATGTGGTTGTTCCGCTGGTCAAATTGTTGTCTTTTGAGCTATTGCCCGAACTACTCATCCCACAATTTAAGCATAAACAGAGCATTTACTCTGTTTATGAGATGAAAAAGAAAATCAACAAACACAACTCCGTCGGACTCAATCCAGAGATTGACAGTCGGTACACCAATTTGTGCTTAAATTGGTTCTTCGAGGGGAGTAATCGCGCTAAAATGCAGAAGAAAGAGTGGGAAACGGCGAAGCCGGAGGTAAAAATCCAGCTGAAGCTTAATTGTTCAAAAGCTTTATGGGTGCTTGCGCGAGGAAACGAATCAATTAGCAAAAATATAACACAGAGGAACGGATTGATGTGCTTGGCGAAGTTAATAGAAAAGGAAAGGAGTGAATTGCAGTTAAATTGCTTGATGATTGTTAAGGAGATAGCAGCCGCCGCTGAACAACAAGCGAATTTCAGACGTTTAGCGTTTAAGACTAATTTACCGGATGTCAGAGCCGTCATTGATGAGCTATTGAGGGTGATCAAAGAATCAGAGGGTCCTGAGTTGCAGATCCCGGCAATCAGATCGATTGGGTCTCTGGCTAGGATTTTTCCGGCGAGAGAGATTCGAGTGATTGAATCTCTGGTGGCGCAGATTAGAAACAAGCACCGCGAAGTTGCTGAGGAAGCTGTTACCGCGTTGCAGAAGTTCGTCTGTGAAGATCATTTTCTTCGATGGGAGCATTCGAAATCGATAATCAAGTTCAATGGTGTAGCGGCTCTGAAGCGATTGATTGGGAAGCAGAGTCCGCAGGCAATGGCTCTGCTCTGCTACCTTTATGACAGCCGGCCTCTCCAGCAATACTGGTGCACTGAGACGGAGGAGAAAAATGGCAGCGCACGGTCGACGTATATGACACCGGAGAATCCAGCCAACGCCTTTGAAAATCTTACAAATTCAAAAGCATCGTCCATCGGCTCAAAAATGGAGACAAAACGGCCCAAGCCCAAAAACAAGACCAAAAGTCCTAACGATCTTCTCTTTACCACAGTAATTGGCCCTTGCAGTTGCACCTGCTCCGGTCTCCTCTTCATCCTTGCAAAACTCAACTTCAACCCCGATTTCCAAGAACACTCCTCATGGTTTAGTTCGTTATTTGCAACAGGCCTATACAGGGAGTTCATACTAAAAAGAGTTTGGAGGGGGATTAGTTTTGAAGTGCTAATAAGTTTGTCAGCAAACACTCTATCCTTCCAAATGAGAATAGAAACTTCTAGAAATAGTCTGCATAATTACTGGTGGAGTGTACTAACAATGCAAACTATAGACCGTCGCATTGAGTATTGTAAATGATATGTATATTGATCCAGTTAATATGATGAGTAAAGTACACGCGTTTGTTAAATCAAATTTGTCTCCCAAATCGGATAGCATCGCAAGTGTATGTGATAATACTTGATGAAACATGAGACGAGCGCGCGATCGGTCGAGAGGCAGAGTGAGTGCCTCATTTTTTCTGTTGCTTCGCAAGTTTCTTCTTGCTTTTCTTTGTTTCTTTTTAATTTGGACTATTCTGTCATCAAACAGAAAAAAGAAATGGACTCTTGTGGACCCAACACATGTTGTCAATGTCAATTTTTTCTCTTTTTCATCGCTCGCACGAGCTTTAACTTTTTTTATTCGTATTTTGACTTTATTTTTTTGATAATCAAGTACTTGATTTTTTTTTTAAACAGTATTAATAAATTATAAATTTAAATTATATAGTATATGAATAATATAAAAAAAAAATTATTACTTGATTTTGTAAAGAGAAAAATTAGAAGAGGTAGACGCTTCGATTTTCTGCTGTGTTTGTTAATTTATTTTCCTCTCAAATCGGATAGCATCGCCAGTATGTTTTATGTAGTAATAGTTAATGAAATATAAGTCGGGCGGTCGGTCGACCGAGAAGCAGAGTGCGCGCGCCTCATTCTCTGTTACATCGCGAGTTTCTTTCTTTTTGGTTTTTGACTTGGGCTATCGTGGACCCACAACAATTTGTTTATGTCTTTTCTTTCTTTGTAGTACTAGATAGATAAAATATGTTGCTTATAAAAAAAACAAAAAAGATGAAACCTGTTGTCTGGACAGAAGGCTCTTCTTCAGATAAGAACATTAACTTTAAGGGGAAAGACAAATATACATTATATGTAGATACGTCATGAAAAATATTTTGATTAATAAAAGTTTAAACTCTAAATTAGATCACATTCTCCAAAAACGAAGGTTATTGGTCGTTGAGAGTCACCCCTTTAAGTTGTAAGTTTGCGTTCCCGGTGAATACCTATTTCTTCACCATTAAACATAAATATGTGATAGTTTCTTGCACTTCTAGAAAGTCTTACTAAAAAAGTAAATGTGATAGACTGATTCTTGCTATCTCTTTTAGAAACTCACCATAAACATCTATTTATAGATAAGGATCATTTTACTCAACCATACAAGGGGCTCATTTTTCTCTGGCCGGTAAAACTTCATTTCGTAAATGAAGTAGCAGCCTTAAGTGTAGCATTATTTACATGATGAGGAGAATTCAACAATACAAGGGGCCCATTTTTCTCTAGCTCGCACGGTAAATAAAGATCTGTTCTTTTGGTACATCTTTCCGGACCCAATTTTTCTCCGCTTGTCTAACGCTGACACTAGCAATCACTTGTTCTATTTGGAATTGGACGCAAACTTTCTTCCCCAATCCACTTTACAGCAGCCTGGGCCCACCTTGCTGTCCATTCCCGACCCAAA